TTCATCGAAGCTTTACATTATAAGGATCTCTGAATGATTCCCTGCTTATAAATGTTTCAGGAGTTTTCGATGTTTTGATGTTTTTCAAACAACAAGTTTTTCGAGATTATGAGGTTTTCGAAACTCCAAAGTTTTCGATGTTCAAACATTTTGAAATTCTGCAGATTTCGATATTCTGAGGTTTGTTTTGCAGGTAGATTTCGCCATTATTCTTCGAGGCAACCTCGAGATTAGGATTTCGAAGTATTGCCTTAGAATTTTGTTTAAAATCCACCTGCTCTCGATATTCATCATCGAGAACCTCAACTTCGAAGAAATTCCTCAAAAAACTCAAAATTAGAGATTTTCTGTGACACCGCACTGTTTTGGCCATAACTTTTGACTCGGTGATCCGATTTGAGCAAACCTTTTTTTGTTAGAAAGCTAACGAAAAGATCTACATTAATTCTTGGGCTTTGCCCCAGAACCCATTCTCACGCGCCCTCACTCGCAGTCTTTGAGGGTCAAAACGTTAGTTTTCCGACAAACATTGTAAATCACCGATGTCCAGGTTAAAACTTAGGCAAACCTGTTCAAATTCTTTCCATGTTAACCCTGAGGTCAAAAAATTTCTAAACCTAACAGTAAAGGTCTGAAAATCGTAGAAAATTCAATCAACCTCGCGTCAACGGTCATCTTACAACAATCAACAATCAACTGCTGAAGCCTCCCCTGACTCATCAACATTGTGTGATCATCAATATGCTGAAATTCTACATGGTGAGCTCAGGGAAACCGTCATGTGTGGTACATGTTCAGATTGCTCCACACACATGGCGGGTATGACAAGCTGTGAGCAATCAATCCTTGCACATTCTGAGGGGGAGTTTCAGTTAATTCCTCCTGGCGCCTTACACCGACAAAGCAAGGAATCTCTCAAAGGATGCAACATTTTAGGGGGAGTGTTCAATGTTATCCTTCCCGGTGCCTAACAATGAACAAGCATACCGAGTACTCCAGTTGAGGGGGAGTACAGAGAGAAAATGAAGAAAGTAATGAGAGAACATGTCCCTATGGCTTAGTAAACCCAACTAAGCCTACCCAAGGGACAAAGCCGAGCGTAAGTGCGTAAGTGAGCGAGTGAGTGAGTGAACATTATGAGCATTAGGAAGCAGAAGGCTCGAGTGAGAAGGAAACAATTATCAATGATGAGTCTGCTACCTCAATTGCCTGCTATGAATGGACCATTTGCTCCTAGCCACTAAAATACTTTGGACTATCCCCATAGGTTCAGGACTGAATTTATTCAGATCCCGGGTAGAAGTCGCTGCATTTTGTCCAAACGGCGCATGCACAACCCTACCCTAGACCACTCACTTGTCTCCCAACAGACAGGTGTGTAATCATAGTTCACGGGGAACCGCATCTCTCATTACTGTCTTCTTCCGAGGCAAGTAATACTGACTACAGTGGCCTCAGCCCCATGCCACTGAACTTTCATTGATCACGTCGTGTCTAGTTACTCACTCCCAAATGTTTTGAAATTTTCTAGGACACAGACGCACTTTTAGAGTCAGTTGCAGGTCTTCATGACCCGCGAGAACTTCCATAGGGCTCATCTATTACAGATGTAGACCAATGATTGGAAGGAAGTCCTGCTGTTGCAACATAAGAATCACCAACATTCTCAGGCCATTGCTTTAGAGTTTATCTCTATAGTGATGAAAACGGGTGTCTACACGACCCCGAGGGGCTTTTATCATTTACTCTTTCTGTTTGTTTCCTGTTTTATTTCCGCAGAATAAGAGAATAAAAGCATGACGTCCCGATTCATCGGATCGTCATGACGGGGAGAGTCGTCCACATGCTGTTAACACTGAACAAATCATTCTGGGACACTTCACTCCTCCATCACAAAAATCAATACTCTCTCTACTATCTCCGCAACTCAAATGGTCAGCTACACTCACAAATCAACCATCATTATGTTCCGCTGTGCCACCGACAAGTTCTCCTCAAATGCATTCATTCCAAATAGTCAAAAAGACTACATTGTGAAGGGGACAAAGGTCAGATACTCAAACTCGAAGATGAATTCCATGTGTTTCTCCTATTCTCCAACGAATATTCATTCTAGAGGCGTCACCAGACTTCATCCAAGCTGATCAAGAGCAACTTCTGGAAGGCAAGGACTACATGCAAGATACAGAAGGTTCCTTAACCCCCGGCATCAAAGATCAAATTGTCAAGAAGACATCAAAGGGGAGATTGCAAGGATTTCTTCAGATAGCCTTCCTCAGAAGTCAAGTTCAAAGACAAAGGAAGCTCAATAACAACAAAGACAAAGTTATCTGCGCTGCAATGCTGATTCAACACGATTGATCACCAAGGGGGAGATTGTTGGGAATCTTTTATGGTGTTCAATCTAGTTAGTTATCTTTGTATTTGTGTAGTTATTAATTAATCGTGTAACACAGGCCACAAATGTGTATCAGCCCGTGGGCTTCCTTGTAACCCGTAAGTTAGCCAACTTCTCCTATAAAAGGAGGCTAACTTACGGGAACCCAAACTGATCGAGAGAGGCTTAGAGACGCAGAGGCAAGATAGAGAGAAATTAGGGTTGCCGCTGCTCTCCTTCTCCAGGGAGAGTAGCGGCAGGTTCATACGGTATACCAGATTCGGTTCTTATCTTATCGATTTCTTCCTATCTGCTTCTTTATCATTGTTATGGTTGTATGATTGTTAATGTTTTGGGATTAACACAAATATGTGTTCCCTCCATCCCCTTAAAAAGTCCTCTTTCAAAAGCTTTTTCATTCCAAAAGAGTCTTACTTTATCAACTGAAGCTAATTTTCCATGAAATTGGTGAGAAAGGTTACTACTTACAAAGAAGTTTTACATGAACTAGCAAAAAGAATCATAAATTCATGACTAGCAAAAAGAATCATAAATTTTCCATGAAATTGGTGAGAGGGGTTACTACTTTATCAACGCAGAATTATTGCTATACTTATTGATAGGGAAACATTGTGCAGATTACATAAAAGAAAATGCAAAAGAAGCACGAAACCCTCATCACCGATTTCACTTTCATAGATCTCTCTCTCTTGATACAACGTTGCCCTACTCTTAATGGCCAAAGGCACAAGTCAGAAGACAGCACATCACCACTTGAAGAAATAGAAATGGTAGATGTTGCCCCAGCACACTCCACATAACAGGTTCCTATGGAATGCCCTATGCAATTGTTTTGCAGGATTTATGTGTCAAAACTACCATGTTAATGTGGTAACTATTACCTTTTTGTTCTGTTTGAGAATACCTTGTAGCTGGTCTAACAGGCAGTGAGCTCTACACCAAAATTTGCAAACCGATGGTATTTTAGGTTCCACAAGAATATGACTCTGGGAAGAAAATCAATTTTATTATACATATATAACCTTCTATTCTTCCACCACTGGTGCAGAAGGTTTTGGAGTAGGATCTTTGGCAGGGAGACCAAGCTTGCGCCGCCTTTCAGCCTGTCCAATTACAAAAAAAAAATCAACAAAAGAGCAACTATGAAGAGCCAGGATAACTTATAGGTCAAGGAAAGGTATCAAATGAAGAAAGAGCTTCTCCAATAAACCACAATCACAAAGAACTAAAGAGTCGAGGTGTCAAAGTATGCTTGGTACTTGGTAGTATCAAAACTGAGAAAATAATGGCCAGTGACACCAAACTATGTCAAGAAAAGAGTCTTACTGACTTGAGCGTATTATTTGCCTTTGACTCAATACAGTTTTCACATTAAACATTAAAGTAAACAGCCATAGCATATGCACACAAACCTTATCCTCTTCCAGCTCCTGACAAATTTTCTCTCGAGATCTTCTTTCTTCATCTTTCTCTGCTTTCCGTAAAGCTATCAATCTGCAATGGAAATGTAGAGTAAGAAAATAATCAAACGTGAAAACAAAGTAAACTAAAATCCTGGAGTACTAGACTAACCATTTTCTTTCATTTTCTTCCCCAATAGGCTTAGCTTCAAGAAGTTCCTTACCAATATGGATTCTTTCTTGAAGTCAAGAGGAAAATAATTTGGGTCACATGCTATGAATTTATGGACACTAGCTAAATAAAAAATGGAAAGTGATTTAAAATTTAAATAGTACATAGACAACACCAACTCTAGAAGTAAAAAGAGCCAAGGTAAACTTTATAAATATTTTCATATAATCTGCTTCTGTGGACTTACGATAATATAATACTCTCACAACTAAAAAGGGTTAACTATAGTCTTTGACTACGCAAAACACCAGAATACGTGAAAAATGTTCTGGTGAAATAGAGCCAATGTAAACTTTGTAAATATTTTCCAATAATCTGCTTCTGTGGCCTTAAGATCCGATATCTTAGGTATTTGATATCTTGTTTTCTTCTATCGTTCCTAAGGGTAATTAAGGTTTACTACGGAGAACTAATATTTTTTATTTCTTTTCTTTTGTGATGATCATATTTAACATTAACAAGAAAGTCACAAATAAATACTCTAGATTCAATTTGTTCAGTAAAATTTTAAATTTAATACAAACAAATATTGTTTATTTCTTTTTCAGAATTTAAGGCCAAGAAGTGTCGATCTGCTAAATATATGAATTACATTTTTGTTTATGCCGGTAGTTTTTAGTAGAGAGATCCTCATTATTGCACTAGTTTAAGAGCTCAACCAATCAAATCTCAATATTGTAAATATATTGTGTATCATGCCTAAATCATATAAGCTTCATCTTGAAAGAATATCGTACACTTCATTCCTAGAGTTCCGTAATCATTGGATGTATAGACTCTTCCGATTATAAATGTGAGAGGGCTAATGCACATAGCGTATCAAAACTAGATAAGATGGAAAAGATAAAAAACAACACGTTTTCAATTACCAGAAACATGTTAGAACTCTTATCATGCCTTTTAAAACCTTGGGAAATAAAGTAAGCAGTCAGTCAGCTTCCCCCACATTGGTTCACTGATCACCCTGAACGTTCCTTTACATATATCTCAAGGATATGGATATTTCTGTTGCATTTGTTCAAGCAACTCCAGCTTCCAAGTTTCCTCAATGCAAATCGGACTATTATGAGTTTAAATACCTGCTTACTCCTCATGAGAGAAATCTCAGAATGAAAGTCAGAGATTGCATGGAGAAAGGAGTAGCGCCAATAATGGCAAAGTACTGGAAAAAGGCCGAGTTTCTCTTAGAAATAATTCCAAAACTTGGTGCTTTACGCATGGCTGGTGGCACCATCAAGGGTTATGGCTGTCCTGGACTCTCTTTAATAGCGAGTGTTGTTGCTGTAGTAGAAGTTGCTAGAGTTGATGTCAGTTGCTCAACTATTATTTTGTTTCATTCTTCTTTAGCTATGCTAACGATAGCACTTTACGGGTCAGAGATACAAAAGCAGAAGTATTTACCAACATTGGCCACGCTGAATACTATATCATGTTGGGCACTTACAGAACCGGACTATGGGAGTGGTGCAAGTTCTTTGAAAACAGTTGCAACAGAGGTTGAAGGAGGTTGGGTCATAGAAGGTCAAAAGCGTTGGATAGGAAACAGTACATTTGCAGATGTACTCATAATTTTTGCTAGAAATGCTGCTACAAACCAAATAAATGGATTTATAATAAAGAAAGACGCACCTGGATTGCAAGCCAATAAAATAGAGAGTAAGATTGGCCTGAGGATGGTTCAAAATGGAGATATCCTCCTAAATAAAGTTTTTGTGCCATATGAGGACAGATTACCTGAAGTTAATTCTTTTCAGGATACAAATAAGGTTCTTGCTGTTTCCTGAAATGTTTCTTCTATGGTTACATCTATATATTTTTTTTGGAGGGGAACTTGCCAATTTTATTAGAAATAATATGAATTACAAGAGCAAAAATCAAATGAGAGAGTAAGAAGATATGGCCCGATTGGGCCTAAAAAGAAAGAGATCGAGATTGGGTTAGTGGGCCTTATGCATCCCACCCTTCGGATAGCTCCAAAAGAATATTTCCAGCAAACATAATAAGGTTGAAAAGGAATGTTGGTGCTGTCTTTAGGGTTTCTTCGTATTCGGTCCTCAGAGAGGCGCACCTTGAGTGTACGATGAAGCTCGTATGATGGTCGATCGATTGGAGGTTTCATATTCATCCAGCATCTCGGAAGAAGGTAGAGCCATTCTTGTCCTCGTAGTAAGCTTTTTTCACCCCAGATGGGAGCTCGTTAAGCGTGTAACTTTTCTTTGTTCGCAGTTGAAGCCCTTCTTTGGCGAGATGATGGGCGCATGTGTTGATTTCTCTTGGTCGGTAGTAGATAGATATGTTGTTTGCCAATCTGGTTCGGTTGATGTTACTCGTCGCATTCGCCAGATACGCAGGTATTTTCGAAAACCCATGGGGGATTGGAATTGATGACAAGACATGCTTGATTAATATCAGCCGTTCACTCTGACACAGTTGCTTCTTGTTCTAGGTATCCAGCTTAGACTCAAAGGATTTGATGATGTTTAAACAATGGACAGTCCTGGTTATTCCAACATGGAGTGTCGCAAACTTCTAAATTTCAGCAAACTTCTCAAATAATATTGAAAATATACTTAATCATCTACCAACATCAAACTACATAAAAAGAAGACGAAACAAAATATTCCTTTAAATTTTTCATTGAGACATTTTAACAAACGGTCAATACACATTAGAAATCTTAAAACCTAGCTATCAAACTCTTCAAGCTTCATCACAAATTCAATGTACTATACAACTCCTAGAAAATGTACAGAAATCGATTAGGAATAGGATAACTATTTAGATATTTAGAATGTGAACAAATTACCGGTGGTTACGGAGATGGAAGGTCGGAGTTGTGGCATCGCCTTCCTCGAAGTCGTCCGGAGCGGCGGCGGCGTCTTCGTTGTCGGGAGCAGCAACGACATCATCTTCGTGGAAGCGGCGGCGATGTGTTCGTCCAAGTCGTCGGTCTGTTGTGGTGTATCTGTCTAAGTCATCAGTCTGTTGTGACATCCTCTTTGTCCAAATCTTCAGGAGCAGCAGAGGCAGCGTTCGTACGTAGGTCGTGAGATAGACGGATGGGAGCAGCCTCAGCAACGGGTGAAGTGTTTGCCCATGGTTTAATCTTGATCCCCGCTTTTGGTTACGGTTAAAACTAAAGTGACATGGAAAGGCATTGTTTAAAATTATAAAACAGCCCCTATTTCGAAATTAAGTTTTCGAAAATTATATAAATGATCCCATTTCAGTTTACTACGTCGGTTCTAGAAATAACCGTTATAAATAATATTTTATATTTATAAAATTCACCCGATGAACTAACTCTAACTTTCATTATTTATAAAAATGACCCAGCGCCTACATATAACAACGGTCCTAAGTGAACCCATATTAAAACCTAGTTGTAGAATGCATATTTTGCACTAGTGTGCTTTCCTAAAAATAGCATTTGTTCCTTCTGTGGAGGTGGTCACCATTCATGTCTTTGCCCCATTCCTCCAAATGTCCATCCTTATTGGGCAACTTCATACCCCACTTCCTCCTCCCCACAATTTACAAACACAAATGTTTCAGCCACTCCAATATCTTTGCCGAGTAATGAGCCACATAATCAATTTAAGGAGAAAATTTGAGAGAGGCTGCCTGACTTGGAAGAGACACTCATGCAGCTCACAACCAAAATGCAGAATCTAATCAATGTGGTGGGACAACTTACAGAAGCCCAACCTGAGGAGACCAATATGGATGATCATGGCATTGAGTCAGACTGTGAAGGTGGGAGTATGATGGATGATACACTTCCTGATGCTTTTGAAGACCCACCTATGTTTGAAGATGAACAAGAAGATAGTAGTGTCGAGTTGTTTTTCAAAGAATACAGGAAAAAGTTTCAAACGGTACAAGCTGTAACTGATGAAGTCACAGATCACTGTGATCTTCATACAGAAACTCCCAAGCCGTTTGATTTACCATTAGTCGCAACACCAGATGATGGCATGGAGCAGATCAGTCATGATGATGGTGCTACTGAGGTAGGTTTGGGTATTGAAGATTAGTTCGGAAATGATGATCACACGTTCCAAGAGAGTGGGGGCGAGGTAGATGATGTCCACAATGAAGAAGTCCTGCTCCACAAGCAAGAATTCCCCTCTTGTACACATGCACCGATCCACTCTTATGTGGTAGATTTGGATTTCTTTGATCCATTCCTTGGTGATGATATATCTTTTTGTGTAGAGAATGATCACAACTTCTTGGAGGATATTAATGAGAAGAGTGACAAAACGAATTGGGATGCATTCATGGAGAGTGATAGCGAGTCAAGAGGAGGTACTCAGAATTTTCATGGTACATTCGAGAGAGGAAAGGAGGCGTTTGTGATGCACTTTGAACATGAGGAGGTGAGGTTCATACTTCACTTTTGTGCTGATAAGGTTCATGAAGACTACATAATTCCTACGTGGTTTCAAGAGTTTAAGAAATTGTGCTACTTAATGGCATTTGTGGAGCGAGAGTTAGAAGCTTTGAAAATTAGTGCACCATTAGAGTCTTTGCTATTTGAGAGCATATGAGGTATCGTCGGGCAAATGACGTTAAAAATAGCACTTCTTGGGAGGCAACACAAGCTTATTTCTGCATTTTTGTTTTTGCATGTTCTTTGTTTTTTGTGTTTGTGTGTTTTGTTTTTGCAGCTCAGGGTCTTGCTTTGGGGATGATGTGCCGAGGATCACTTGACTTAGTTTAGTTCTGCACCGACCAGCGCCTTAGGGAAGTTTCTCCGACTCTTATAATCGCCTATTTGTAATGTTGACTTGAGTTGAGATTGAGCACGCGTGACCCTTTCCTCTTCACCCCTTGTGCATAGTGCATTTTTTGGTCATTGAGGGCGATGCCAAAGTTTAAGTGTGGGAGAGTGAATTGGGCATTCGGGCAGTAGTTGTCACATGGGAGTTTTAGAGTTAGCATGCGCATGTGTTAGTTGTATATTCATGTCAAATTTTTGAAACTTTTTCCTTAAACTGTGTCTTTGTGAGCTGGCTAGCGTGTTGACTATGCTTTTAGAACATCTTTGAAGTGTTTAAGCTTAAATTGCTTACAATATAATCTAGTTTCTGAATGGATGAAGGCATTAGTCACCCATTGAATCGTCTCACAAATCATCCACCTGACCTGAATAAGTCCTTTAGGAGAAGCCACTTTGAGCTTGACCGTTTATTCTTTACCCAATTAATTGAGCTCCATAGCTAAATGGCCTGTTTCCGTACCCGTGAATAAGTCTGACGAAGTCTTGATGTTTAGGGAACTAGGGGATTAATTTTCTAAGTTTAGGGAATTTTTGTAGGAGACAATTTTGGCACTGTTCCTATGCCCCAAGTGGGGTAAGAGCGGTCACTTTTTAGGAATTTGATATTTTCGAGGATTGCATTGTGGGCATGGATTCACCTTAATTAATTGAACTTTAATTTCTAATTTTCCTTGGTGAGGTTGAGATTAGAATGGGGTAATTTCTAGTGAAAATCTGAAAATTGAAAAAATTAATTAAATGAACTAGACCTCTTACCTTGTGATTTTTGAGTTTGTTATCCAGGGGCCTGTCCCGGTATTTACAGAGATGATTGTTTGGGAAGATTTTATTTAGGTTAGTTAATCCTTGCTTAGGTAGTGGGTTTCTGAGCACTATGATACATTGTATGATGTTGTTTTTTGAGTGTTTAATATAATTACCTTTCATCCAAAAAAAAAGAGAATGGGAGACCTGGTCAAATAACGTAAGTCTTCTGCACAATAAGATGAGACTTGGGGATCTTTCGAAAGAAATGGCGTTCTCGTGCCAACATGACAAGGAAACCTGATATTAATTAATTGAACTTGGAGGCTATTGCAAAAATTAGCATTAGTCCTTCGCGTACTTCAAGTATACGTCAAAGCACCAATGTGCCATTGCGGTTTAGCTTGGTTGTACACCATGTCTACTCTTTGCATATGTTTAAATGATAGTTCCTAATTTGTGTCCTGTTGAACTCCCCGATCCTAAGAATAGCCCTGAAATTCCTGAATGCATTCAGTTTGTGTCAGATTATTCCCAAAACTCTCAATGAAAGGGACTTTTATTCTTTACCATCTGCCATTCACCACCGCCTTCACAAGCCCTTCTGATCAGTAGCTAATTCACTAGTGTTTGCTGCCATTACTTCAAGGATGCTGTGAATAAATTTGTCATTTAAGTTAGCTAGAGTACAAAGATGTAGTTTAGGGAAGAAATTTCTTGATTTAATCTTTGTGTTCCGTGAATATCCCTTTGACTACCTGTGCATGCTAATTATTTTAATTCCGTGTGGTGATTATCGTAAGTCCCGTTGTTTAGTTTGCTTGAGGATAAGCAAAGGCTTAAGTGTGGGGGAATCTGATAAGTCCGTATTTAGACACGCATTTGATGCGGGTTGGGATCGACATGTGATGGTTTTTCTAGCTTTAAGGTGTTACTAGTCTCAACTTTAGCTCAAGTTATGTTTACCGAGCGTTGGTTCGAGTTTTATGTCTTTTGGAGTCAAAATCAGGGAATTTGAGCCCAGCACCGGCGCTTGAGGAGCAAACGGGATGATTCGAGAAGCATTCTAGAGTGAATTGAGAGCTTTGGAGGTCACCGGGAGGTTCACAATGAAGATCTGATGACAAAAGAGTTCTAGGATTGGCTACGAGATCAGAAGAAGACGAATAGAACTTGAAAACGACGATCAGGATGACCTTCTGTCAATCGTTCAAACATATCTCTTCGTAGAAGCATCCAAATGACACGAT